AGAGAGAGAGAGAGAGAGAGAGAGAGAGAGAGAGAGAGAGAGAGAGACTGCTTGCCCACGTGTACTCATGTAGAGTCTTGTAGTCAAGTTACAGCTGGATCATATCATTGGATGTGATCTCTTGCCAGAGCAGCCATATTGCTGGATTAAAATTTCTCCTCACTGGGCTGAGTATTCTTTTTGAGCATTTCCAATAATATTTAACCTCTTTTTGCATGCTGTTAAATTATTTTGAATTTGGGGCTGGAGAGATGGCTCAGGGAACAAGGGCACTAGTAGCTCTTACAAGAGGACCAAGACTCAATTCTCAACAGCCATGCAGTGGCTTACAACCATCCATGACTCCAGTTACAGGGCTCCCAAAGTACTCTTCTGACTTCTGAGGGCACCTGACATGCACATGGTACACACACATATTTGCAGGCAAAACAATTATATTCATCAAATATATACCTAAAATATGTTTAATATTTTTAATTCTTTGTGTTCAGAAATATATATCATTTGAAAACTAAGTCCCATAGTATATAGTCATTGGATGTTACTATATTTACCTAATAGTTGACTCTTCTTCTGGAATGTATTAACCTCTGCTTCAGAGTAGAAAAAATAAACACAAAGAACATCCTCTGAATAAAGGTCATATGAGCTCCTTGTAACCAACAATGTACAGTAAGTGTGGTATAATGAAGGTGTTTTCCTTTGCTCTGTAAATCCAATAAGGAGCATTTATAAGCCTGGACTATTATAACAGACACATTTATGTAATAAATGTATGCTTATTCTATGAAGAATACACAGTACAAAAAGTGCAAGACTCTCATTCCCAAGGCTGCCTAAACAAGAGCTGAACAAGGATGGCGCCTATAGACATGCTAGGATAAAAGGGGGAAATCTCATGGGGTCTCAAAGAAATGCAGGCACCTAAGGAACACTGGGAGTTAGAGAAATCATATTCTCTAGGGAAGTGCCCCACTGAAACCATTCACACAGGTAACTGTTAACAGACTGAGCAGGTTTCATTTATTTATTTAGGAATATATATATTCCATAGATAGATAGATAGATAGATAGATAGATAGATAGATAGATAGATAGATAGATTGTGTGTGTGTGTGTGTGCACCTATATATGGTTTTGTGCACCACATGTATGCTGGAGCCCCTTAAGGCCAGAAGCGAGCATCAGATGCCCTGGAACCAGAACAATAGGTAGTTGTAAGCTCTGTAGGTGCTAGGACTCCAGTGTAGGTCCTTAGCAAGAGTAGTTGGTGTTCTTACCTGCCAAAGTGTCTCCACAGCCTTGGACCTTCCCACTTTCTCTCCTGTCACAGTGGCTAACTTGGCTCCAGTAAAGCCCAGGCTAACAAACAATAGGTACTTCAGGATTTGGTGAGTCTCTGTCTTCCTGGAATTTTGTTGTTTTGGGTTTTTTGTTTGTTTGTTTTTGTTTTGTTTTGTTGTTATCCTACAATAAACTTGATTCTAAATCTGAGCATGGTGGTACCATGTCCTTAAGCCTAACACATAAGAGGCAGAAACAGGAGGATCTCTGTGAGTTCAAGACCAGTTTAATCTATATTGCAAGATCCAGGGCAGCCAGAGTTACATGGTGAGACCTGCCCCCACTCCCCCAAAGCAAGCAACCAAACAAAAACTCTTTGTTTTATATACTTAGTGATTTTCTTTATAAAAATAATATTTACTCAAAATAAAACTTAGTTTTTGTTTGTTTATTTTCATAGTTCTGTTTGTCTGTTTGTTTTATATTTATTTACAAAGAAATTACCAGGTGCTACTAATGTCTAAGAAAGCCAAAGACAATAATAGCTAAAATTGGACTGGGGATATGGTTTAGAAGGTAGGTGTCCCTGCTTGTGGTCTCAAACACCACCCACACTGGCCACTCTAGAACATATCTGTAATCCTAGCACTTGGAAGCTGACAGCAGGATGACTAGTAGTTGGAGGTCATTGTCCCTTGCATGCTTGAAGTCAGTTTAGGCTACAAATGAAACCCTGTTTCTCCTTCCCCAAAAAGAAAGGAAGAAGAAAAGAAACAAAAGAAGAGGTACAATCCCAGCATTGCTGAACCATCCCCACAGTTCTCAATCAGAACCATACTTTAAGATGAGAATTAATATCTTCTTTTTACTAAAAAGGAAGCTTCTTCAGAGAAATGGTTTGCCAGGTGAGACCACTATTAGTGACATAATCAAGTGACAGAGACAACAGTTAAATTCAGGTCTGTTTGACTTCAAGACTCATCTCTCCCTATTTCATTTTACTGTCCAAGTAATTTGTATCACAAAGAAATATTCATACTTCAAACTGCCAGCTCAGTGTTTGCACCACATAGACAAGGGACTTAGGGTAAAGAGGTAGCACAAGTACACAAAACAAGATGCTTACGAAAAGGTCATCCTCGAAAAACAAAAAACAAAAACAAAAACAAAACAAAACAAAACAAAACAAAACAAAAGAACGAAAGAAAAGGTCATCCTGTCAGGTCGTGGTGGCACACACCTTTAGTACCAGCACTCAGGAGGCAGAGGCAAGTAGAGCTCTCTGAGTTCCAGGCTAGCTTGGTCTATATAGAGCCAGTTCTAGGACAGCCAAGGCTATTCTGCTCCAAGGTGAACAAAGGACTGTGCAACCCTGTCTTGGGGGGGAAAAAGTGCTCCAACTGCAAGACATCAAAGAGAAGACACTGGAGGTCAGAGTGGAGACAAACCTGTCAGTTCTAGGACAGATTGAAAGGAGCACTTTAGTCAAGGCACCAGGATCATCTGGCTGTTCTGCTCACCCTCACCTGGTTTATAGGAGAGCCATCCTTGTCCTCCTCACTTCTCCACAGGATCCTGCCTAAAGGCTAATAATAAAGTATATTTTAAAACAAACATACCCTCAATTTCATGTTAAGCATTCATTAAAATAAGGCAAGAAGAAAGTTGATCTGTATCAGGAGAGAACCATATCCTGAGATGAGGCTCACTGTGTAAATGAGCCTTTTAAAAACGTTCAAGCTCTAGCTCCCTCTTGTTAGCACAAGATGGTTTCTGGGTAGTGCCCCACTCCCAGCTCCCAAATCACAAGCTTCTGCACTAAAAGCTGTCCACCTTGATGAGTATCTCTGTTTACTTTTTAACTAGGAGTTTTAACTCAGGCTATTAGAACATGGGGAGGTGTTTAATCTGCCCATCTGTTTTCAGAAGTCTGACCCCTTTCATTTGTGATCCTCAGTAAGTAGTAGCTGGAAGGGTTCCTACAAAAGATCAGTTTTCTTTTCTTTTCTTTTTTTTATTTTTATTTTTTTTTTTTTTAGGTAGGAAAGGCCATTTTTAATAAATTATCTTCTTAGTTGTAGAGAAGTTCCCAACATTAAACAACATGATAAAGCAGGCTTTGGATGAGTCTCAAAGGCCGCACACTATCCTCTCTATCTGAAGGATGAATCCTCTGGAGTGTCTAGTCTTTGTCCAGTAACTTGACGGCAAGGTTGTCCAGGGTCACCAACCACACCAGGAGAGCCTCTGCCACCTCTCATTTGCCAATTCTTTGGACCATGCAGTCCTGCTGGCACAGAGAGCACCGATTGTTCTGCTTCACCCACAGAGACATGCAGCAGTTGTGGAAGGAATGGTTGCATTCTCCCCAGACCACAACACAGTCCTCCTGCTTTTCAGCTTGACATCTAAGACAGGCATCCATCACCTGGACCCTGCAGATGGCGCAGGTGTCGCACTCAAAGTCCCAGCTCCACATGGCTACCGCGTTCCACTTCTTGAGGGAGAACATCTTGTCGCCTCCCGACTTGGAGCCTACGCTCCCGGAGTGAGAGGAAAGGACCCAGGGTTCCTCGCCCTCCTCCACATCGGCCATGGCGGCGGCGCAAAAAAGATCAGTTTTCTAATTGTCAATTTCCATACATTTTGAGTGTCAGAGGCTGTCCTGAAATTGGGGGACGAGGGGACAGAATCAGGATGGAGTGAGACTCCCTGATGATTGCAGCAAAAGAAAGATTTCTTTCTTTCTTTTTCTTTTTGAGGTAGGGTAACCTTGGCTGTCCTGGAATTCACTCCGGCTGGCCTTGAACTCCGAGATATGTCTGCCTCTGCCTCCCAAGTGCTGTGATTAAAGACACACTCCATGATGCCCTGGTTGTTGCCTTTTTTTTTTCTTTTTTTCAGTTTTTACCCTCATCCTTCTCTCTGTGCTCACCCCTCCTTGCAATAATCTATCTGAATTTTCAAAAGGAGCCTTGGAAGACAAGAGCTATGTCACACTGAATAGCCAGTCACCCAAAGTAAGCAGCAGTAGGAGACTATAGAGTAACAAAGATTGGCTCAAGTCACTGGTGAGGGAGATTTGAGGAAAGGAATATGCAGGCACCCTTCAAACCATGCCTTCAAATACCTGAGGTCACAGAGAAATTCATTTTCTGTTGATACAAAGTATACAGTTCTTTTTAGTTAAAATAATGAATTTTTACACTCACTGAATATAGTAATATTGTCACTGTTTTGGAATAATCTTTCATTTCACACTTTTTCTATCCCTAGAATAGTAAGTTACTCACCAAGCAGGGAGGTTACTCATAGTTGCAAAATCTTACTCAAAATGTATTTATAAGGGCTGAAGAGATGATTCTGTGGTTAAGAGCACTGGTTGCTCTTGTGGAGGACCCAGGTTTGGTTCCCAGAATCTCCATGGCTGCTTGCAAACAGCTGTATCTCAGGTTCCAAGGAACCGGATACCCTCTTATGACATCTGCAGGTACCAGGCACGTGCATGGTATGTACACATACATGCAAATCAAACATCCACATATCTCTTGCTAGTTTTCATGTCTTAAAAACAGTTCTAACTTTTTCAAAGTTCTTGTTCTTTCTCAATTTTTCTTTGGGGAATTTGTGAGCTAGACAACCTCTTGTAAGACATTTCAAATGCAGAAAATAATCTGTACATACCTGCAATCCCAGCACTTGGGATTGGGGGCAGGAAAATCAGGAGTTCAAGGCCAGTCTAGGCTACATAAAACCCTGTCCCAAAAGATAGATAGATTAGATAGATAGATAGATAGATAGATAGATAGATAGATAGATAGATAGAGCCAGAAAAACATTCAGCCTGTGTCTTGGTCATTGTTCTATTGCTGTGAAGAGTTACCACAACCAAGGCAACTCTTATGAAAGAAAGCGTTTAATTGAGTACTTGCTTACAGGTTTGGAGGTTTAGTCCTTTCTCATTGGGAAGCATGAAGGCAGGCAGGCATTAAGGCAGTAGCTGAGAGTTACAACCAGAGACAAAGAGAGAGAAAGAGAGCAGGGAAGGGGAGAGGAAAGAGGGAGAGGATTCTGGGGCCTGGTTTGGGCCCACCCCCAGTGACACACTTCCTCCAACAAGGCCACACCTCCTAATGCTTACAAACCTATCAAAGAGTTCCATCAACTAAGCAGTTAACTATCAGAGCACCAGGGGATGGTGGGGAGGAGAAGGCCTTTCTTATTCAAACCACCAGCCAAGAAAGTGTTTACCTTGCAAACCTGAACGTCTGAGTTCAATCTCCTGCTACACAGAGTAGACAGAGAGAGAAAGGCAAATCCCAAAAGTATCCCTCAACTTCACACACACACACACACACACACACACACACAGAGAGAGAGAGAGAGAGAGAGAGAGAGAGAGAGAGAGAGAGAGAGAGAGAATAATAAGTACATTAAATAAATAAATAAAATGCAAAAAAAAAAAGATGGTAGAAAATAGCCCATCTCTCCACCAAAACTGTTTGAAATTTGCAGTAAAATTCCAAACCCAGATCCTGCCACCACCTTTTCTGACTTCTCCAAAGGTGCACACACCTGAGTCCTAGCCCAGAGAGAACCACAGTATCACTTTTTTGGTGCTAGCTGACAAATGCCTGAGTTTAGACTGAATCTTCCAGTCAGAGTCTCCTTGAGACAAAACTTTGAGACTCTTAACAGATATGCCAGAAGAGACTGAAAATAAAGCCAAGATTCAAGGGGAGTGGCACCAATGGCTGCACTAAACTTAAGTCTTCTCCATACAGGAATGACACTACCTAGCCAGAGTCATAAAACTGAAAGCAGGGAGGGGAGAAGAGAAAGCCGTTTTGTCTCACCAGGTCCTATCTCTAGATTTGCTTACTATTTGAGCATGGCTGTGCCTGCGTTTGTATAAACCAGCTCGTTGTTCCTAATGGTAGGAAATAAAAGCACCAACATTAGGCTTCCAGAAAATAAGAGATGCTTTTCAATATCCTACTCCCTCTGTCTAAGAAATTGTCCCCAATGTCTCTGACCAATGTGTTGCTAGCTTTTGTCAACTTGATACATTCTAGAGTATTCTGGAAAGAGGGAACCTTAATTAAGAAGATTCCTACAGCTCTCTGCCAGATCGCCGCGTGCACGCAGGTGCGAGTGGAATTTATGGATGACTCCAGCCGCTCTATCATCCGAAGTGTCAAAGGCCCAGTTCGAGAGGGTGATGTGCTCACCCTGTTGGAGTCAAAAAGAGAAGCTCGGAGGTTGCGCTGACCTTGCTGCTGGGTCCTGGAATATCCACTACTTAGCCATGGAATGACCTGCGACTGTTAAATAAAGCATTTGTATTAAAAAAAAAAAAAGATTCCTACATCTGATTGGCTGTAGGAAAGCCTGTGGGGCATTTTCTTGTGAGAGGGCCCAGCCCACTGTGAGTGGTGCCAACCTAGGCAGGTGGTCCTGAGCCTTGTAAGAAGCAAACTGAGCATGGTGGGTGGGGGGAAGCCTGTAAGCAGCCTTCCACCAGGGCCTCTGCTTCAGTTCCTGCCCGACTTCCCTCAGAGATGGGCAGTGACTGGGTTGTGCAAGCCAAATAAACCCTTTCCTCCCCGAGTAGCTTTTGGTCATGGTGTCTTTATCACAGAAAAATATCAGTAAGTAGGATAGCAGACTAGTCCCTTGTTTTCACGTGAAAGATCTAGTGAGAGCATAGAGAAGGGCAGAGGCTTGGATGAATGGTTTGCGCTTTATGTGCTCTGGGAGAGATATTGAGAGCTCATGCCTCTCTGGTCTCCATTATTGTTAACCATTGAGTTGGACCAAATTCTTGTCACAGAGAATTGTCCAACTAAGAAAGATTAACAGCCCTCTCGTTTACTATTGGTTCTTACTGTAACTTCCCAGGACCAAAGATATATGCAATTAAGCCGTCCCTCTGAAGATATTCTATAATGGATCATTATAGATCCTAACATGTCGTTAATCAACTTAACTTCAAGGCACTCTGGGACAAAGCTTTGCTTTCTGAGTCTATTTTTCATTTGAAATTACATCTAATCATAGTGTCCAAAATCAGCCAGCAGAGAAAAATACTTTCAAAAGTCCAAATAAAGCAACAAAAAAATAGTTAAGAATTGAACAATTTAACAGCCTTTCCCATTGGTAAATTCCCAGGAAAATTCAGTCCAAAATGAATTCTTCTTGCTATTGTAAGCTGAACTCTGAGGGCTCAATGCTAACTCTCCTCTCCTTGCTTGTTTTTCCAGTCCCGTGATGGCTCACCCTCAACTGCCTGTGGGTGTGCAGTCCTGCAGGGGCCAGCAAATCTTCTGTCATGACAGACACAGCGTTTTCATTACTTTTTCACAGTTAATCAACCCAGGTCTCATGTCTCATAGATGTAGAAGTAGAAATGACTTTTACAATAATCGCAGAATGCTGTTCTAGAACCCATAGAGACTTGTACTGTTACCCATCAAAGACAATAGCCAACCTTAGCATTCTGTGAGAAAAGGGATAACACAGGGAACAGAAGACAAAGCTGTCTATTTCCCTTCCTCCTTAGCAGGATGCCTATCAGAACATGACTGTTGTCCAGCTGTTACTTGTGATTTTAAATTCAGTTTGCATTTCTCCACAGGGGTTAACTGTGATGCTGAGTTTTCAGTCATGACCTAGCTGACTTCCTGTGTGAGTTCCTTTTCTCACTGTGACAAACTAACTGCCTGACAAAAGCAACCTTGAGGAAGGCTTTAGATTTATGGTTTAAATCATAACCAGCCAGGACTACACAGAGAAACCCTGTCTCGAAAAACAAACAAAACAAAAAACAAACAAACAAACAAAAAAGAAGCTTTTGCTGGCTAGTTTTGCTCAACTTGAACACAACAGGGCCTCATCAGAGAGGAGGAGCTTCATCAGAGAGGAGGAGCCTCATCACGGAGGAGGAGCCTCATCACGGAGGAGGAGCCTCAGCTGAGAAAATGCTTTGTAAGATCAAGCTGTGGGCAAGCCTGTAGGGCGTTCCTTAATTACTGATTAATGTGGAAGGGCCCATCCCACTGTGGGTGGTACCACCCCCTGGGCTGCTGGTCCTGGGTTCTATAAGAAAGCAGGTTGAGCAAGGCTTAAAGAGTAAGCCCTTAAACAGCACCCCTCCATGGCCTCTGCATCAACTTGTGTCTAAGGGTTCCTGCCCTCTTTGAGTTTTTGCCCTGACTTCCTTCAATAATAATCAGCAATAAACCAAATAAACCCTTTCCTTCTCGAGTTGCTCTTGGACACGGTGTTTTACCACAATAGAAACCCCAAATAAGACAGGGAAACAGCCAAACAGCAGTGAAGGCCTGACAGGTGGAAGGAACTCAAAGTAGTCACATTGGTCACTGCAGTCTGCTGTCAGAAAGCAGAAAAGGGCCAGACAGTGGTGGTAGACACCTTTAATCCCAGCACTTGGGAGGCAGAGGCAGGCGGATTTCTGAGTTCGAGGCCAGCCTAGTCTACAGAGTGAGTTCCAGAACAACCAGAGATATAGAGAAACCCTGTCTCAAAAAACCAACCCCCCCCAAAAAAAAGCACAAAAGGGACAGAAAGAGAGACAGCATTATA